TGATTTCATTGATTCGAATTCATCTTTGCCTGGAGCTGTGCAGGACGGTCAGTTTCCAAACTAGCATCATGAATTCAGCAGCCATAGTTCCATCAGTCCCCATGGCCTTTCTTTCTTTCGATTCACAAGGTCCAACTTAGAAAATACCACAGTGAGAATGAGTCCATACAATCCGCTGAGGCTAGTGGCTTGAAAAGCCAGGAGCGAAGGTGAGAACCTGCCAGTGCAGGTACATGGAGCTGTCTTTATAGAACTCTGACTAATCAGCCCTTCATGTGGGCCGCCTTTAGTTTTTCTTCTAACTAGATATTTATGAAAGGCATAGAACCACTCCATGATGAGCTCCTTGGTTGACTGACAGTATAATTGTGAGCTGAAAATTTTGGCTGCTCATGAGCTGAATTAGTTCATGGACCATTGTGGGGAAAAAAAAAATAGAGATTATATCTCTATAATATAACCCTCATTTTTTATCTCCAGGAATAAGAATAATTCAGCTTTCACTATACCTCAAATAGTGAATTCTCCCATTTAGTATATACTTGTATTAAATATACAACAAACAGACCCTTTTGTATTAAGAAAAGACTGTTTTCAAGAAAAAACAATAATTTGGAGGGTTGTGCAAAAAGAAAGGCTTATAACTTTGTTCCTCAGTGGGAATTCTAGTAAATATTCATTGCGAAAGCAGCGTGTAGCAGACACCGTGCTAGGGTGACATCAACATATGCAGGTACAAATTGTAACAACTGGAAAGGACTCTGAGATACCCAGTCCAGACTAATTTTATAGACAACGAAACTTTAGCCCTAGAGGACAGAGGGACTTAGACAAAGTAACATGTGTAGTTATATAGCTGAGACTAGAATACAGTCTCATGAAGTGAAATGAGTTCCCAGTTCTCGTGCATATAATTTTAATTATATCTATTTCTCCTTGTAAAAGTGATGCTTTAGGAGAGTGCTGAGGGAAACGAGTAGACTGAACATATGAAACTACTTCCAGCCTCTCCTAAAACCCCACATAAATTATAGCAAAGGGATTTTGTAAGGTGTAGACCAACATGGCCAGGGAAAAGGTAAAAAGACAATAACAAGATCTGGGCAACTGGAAAAAAATGGATAAAGGGCCAGGGACTTCGTGGATCTGAGAAACAGAGCGAGCTCCTGTGTCCAGCTGTGCAGGTTGTGCACTGTCCCAATCTAGTGGACACTGCTTACCCCGACTCCAAAGTGAAGGCTTTCTCTGGAGTGGTGCTGAGCATAGCCTGCACAGCAGCAAGCCAGGGCCCTGCGGAGAAAACAAATGCAAAGCAGCCATGAGGGAAGGGAGAACCATCCCAGTTTGCAAAAAGAATTCCCCAGAAGTCAGAGATTGAAAGTGCCAGACGGCTCTGGAGCAGAGGAAGTGCGCGTGCGCAATTAAAATAAATAAATTAAAAATGGGCTACAGGTACGGACACAGATGTAGTGCAGACGTAGTTATAAATATAGGTCTAGACACACGTACTCGCCAGCCGAGTATGTACTTTGTTGAGAGGTGTGGGGCAGGGATCCAATTTTGCCTTTTTTTCCCTAAATGACTAGTTTTATTTTTTGTGGAGCGCCCCCGTTTTCAAATACTAAATACCTCTATCTGCCGAGAGCTGCTTCCAGAGTCTTATTCTAGCCATTGATCTGTTTCTGTGAACCTCATGCATTTATGGGCCTAGGAAACCTAGTAGAGCTCAGTCTTTAGGTTGGATATAGCCCTGTGAAACAGCCCATTTCTCTCAAGCTGATTCTTTTTTTTTTTTTTTTAAGATTTTATTTATTTGTTTGACAGAGAGAGAGAGACAGCTAGAGAGGGAACACAAGCAGGGGGAGCGGGAGAAGCAGGCTCCCGGCTGAGCAGGGAGCCCGATGTGGGGCTCGATCCCAGGACCCCGAGATCATGACCTGAGCCGAAGGCAGACGCTTAACGACTGAGCCACCCAGGCGCCCCTCAAGCTGATTCTTAAGGCCATAACTCTGTGTTAGTTCTGTTTGTTTCCTTTTAAGCATCTTAAGAATTCACTGTCTTGGGCTCCCTGCTCAGCAGGGAGTCTGCTTCTCCCTCTGACCCTCCCCCCTCTCATGTGCTCTCTCTCATTCTCTCTCAAATAAATAAATAAATAATCTTAAAAAAAAAGAATTCACTGTCTTTTCACATAAAAAAATGCTCAACATCACTCAGCATCAGGGAAATACAAATCCAAACCACGAGATACGACCGCACACCGGTCAGAATGGCTATAATTAACAACTCAGGAAACAACAGATGTTAGCAAGGATGTGAAGAAAGGACAACCTTCTTACACTGTTGGTGGAAATGCAAGCTGGTGCAGCCACTCTGGAAGACAGTATGGAGGTTGCTCAAAAAGTTAAAAATAGGGGCACCTGGGTGGCTCAGTCATTGAGCGTCTGCCTTTGGCTCAGGTCATGAACCCAGGGTCCTGGGATCAAGCCCCGCATCGGGCTCCCTGCTTAGCAGGAAGCCTGCTTCTCCCTCTCCCACTCCCCCTGCTTGTGTTCCCTCTCTCGCTATGTCTCTCCCTGTCAAATAAATAAATAAAATCTTTAAAAAAAAAAAAAAGTTAAAAATAGAGATACCCTATGACCCAGCAATTGCACTACTGGGTATTTATCCAAAGGATACAACATAGTGATTCGAAGGGGCACCTGCACCCCAATGTTTATAGCAGCAGTGTCCACAATAGCCAAACTGTGGAAGGAGCCCAGATGTCCATTGACAGGTGAATGGATAAAGAAGATGTGGTGTATATATATAATGGAATACTACTCAGCCATCAAAAAGAATGAAATCTTGCCATTTGCAATGATGTGGATGGAACTAGAGGGTATTAGGCTAAGCAAAATAAGTCAGTCAGTGAAAGACAATTATATGATTTCACTCAAATGTCGAATTTAAGAAACAAAACAGATGAACATAGCAGACAGGAAGGGGAAAAAAGATGAAAACAGGGAGATAAACCATAAGAGACTCTTAACTGTAGGAAACAAACAGGATTGCTGGAGGGGAGTTGGGTGGAGGGATGGGGTAACAGGATAATGGGCATTAAGGAGGGCACTTGATGTAATGAGCACTGGGTGTTATATGTAATTGATGAATCACTAAATTATCTCTGAAACTAATAATACACTATATGTTAAGTAAACTGAATTTAAACTTAAAAAAAGAATTTACATCTTTCATAAAACTCATATATTCTCTTTAACTCTTTAACTGTACCTCAACAGGAAATAAATTATATCAGTGATTATCAGAGCAAAAGTATTATAACCACCAGCTTCTTCAGTACTTCGACATTTTGCCGGTCTTCTAATTACGTGTTTCTTCAACAGGATAATGGGACATGCAAGGTCTTTTGGTTTTAAAGCTGCCTTTTATGCAGCTGAGCACCTCAGTCTCCCTTCAGAGTCCCTGGCTTGACCTTGCATTCCAGTCATATTTAAATATGATCTAATGTCCATCTGTACAAGGCTCCCTATCATGCTCAGAGATAACTATCCATACATGCTATTGCTAGTGCTTAAGAGATGCTTCCTTCTTAATCATCTGGCTAGAATGCGAGTTCTCCTTGAGGACTCAGTGTAGACGTTACACCCGATGGGAAGCCTTCTGACTCAGTAGTCGGTCACATAGCCCTCTTACCTGCTCCTATAACACCAGCTGCATCTACCAGCAATCATGCATATCCCACTGTGTTGTGATTGCCTGTCTCATGGTGTGCCTGCCTACTAGACAGTAAGCTCCTTGAAGACAGGAATTGTCTTGCTCTTACCTAGGTCCCTCACATCTAGCCCAGTCCTTTGTACATAGTGGGGACTCACTATGTCTTGAGTGAATGAATGATATTTGTTCATTGCAGAATGTTTGGAAGTAAAACTGAAAAAAAATTTTTTTTAAAGAAAATGAATGTAAATCCCAAAACTTGAGACAACTCCGACTAGCATTTTTGGCTTCCTTGCTTCTAGTTAACTTTCTCTTGCTTCTTGTTAATTTTCTCTCTAAGCCTCACTGCATATAAAGCTTTGAACACTTCATTTTTCACTTAGAAGAATACTGTGAGCATTTTCTTATGTAACTAGAGGTTCTTTGGAAATGTTACTTTAGTTGTTACAGCAAGAAGATTGTGTTCTAGAAGTAACACACTTTCCTCAGGTATTCTATATTGTTGGACTTTGTTACTTGAGGTGTTTTGCTGCTATAAATAATGCTTCAGTGAATATTTTTGCATGGCTATTTCTCTATGATAAAGTCTGGAAATGAAATTACTGAGTGAAAATGGCATGGTTCTACATGCAGTAATGTCAAAGTACCTGCCTCAGTGTAATGCTGTGTTTCTTCAAGAGAGAAGTTTTATTAAAAAAAAAAAAAAAAAGGTAGCTCATTTTTACCTTATAGTTTATTGGTCATTTATATTGTATTGCTCTCTAATAGCAACCTGTGCCCACTTTTCTGGTTAGTTTTTCATACTGATTTCAAAGCTATATGTTGAAAATGCAGCCCTTTGTGAAATGTTCACAAATATTTCAAGTTTGATATATGCCTTTTAATCTTATTTTTCATGTTTTTAATATTTTTTGAATTTTATGCACATTTATCAGTCTGTTCTGTGAATTGCTCAACTGCTTTTCCACATAGAGTTTCTTGCCCTACTTTGATATATTAGATATTTTCCTACTTAGATATATACTTATAAGATATATCTTCTTCTAACTATATTAGTTTCTTCTTTACATTTAACTTTTTGACCTATTTAGAATTTATTTTGGGCTATCGTGTGAGATAAGGCTCTACCTAGTTTTTGTTTTTGTTTTTGTTTTACAAAATAGCCAATTTTTCTAATACCTTCTCTCGGCCATTAAAGAAATGTTCCTAAAGACAATTGTATTAAAATAACCAGCCTCCAAAAACATAGTTCAGTGTTCACCATGAACTTTGCTTTCTCCTCCCAGGTGAGCAGGAACCAGCTGTAAGCAGTGATTCTGACATCTCGCTGATTATGGCCATGGAAGTTGGACTGTCTGATGTAGACCTTTCCACTGACCAAGACTGTGAAGAGGTCAAGTCTTGAAACGGTGACTATAGAACAAAGGGATGGTAGGACCCCAGGGGAAGGAAGGGAGGAGAACCTCAAGAATTGGACCGGCTACACACACCTCCAGAACCACTTGGTAACTCCACGGCGCTCGGCTCAAGAATGGTAATGAAAGCAATATCCAAAGTCATGTTAATCAGGAAGCCGTCTCTCCATCTGTACAACAGTCCATGGCCTTGGCAGCTGAGAAGTCGAAAGCTGATTTTCCCTCCCATGTCCTTGTAGACACACACACTTCAGAAGCTCCTAAAACAGACAGGACACATTTAGGGCTTCTTAGTTTTATTTCCTTTTCTTCCAGGTCTTGTTTTGTTGTTTGGGGAATGTGGTTTGATTTCTTTGGCAGTTTCTTTTTAAAGACTGTGTGCAGTTTACATGATGTCCACCCCTTTGGTTGACTCCAGCTTTTGTAGAGAGTTCTGTTTCGAAGCACCAGTTCCTGCTATGATCAGTTTGTACACGCCATCTCTGAGATGAATGGCCATGACCTCTCAGCATGAAGTGTGCATGGCTTTGGGAAGTGCCTCAGCACCCTGAAATAGTCTAAGGCCAGCTTTCCTTAAGAATCTAAATTCTTTTAAGTGGATCTTAAAGATCCTAGCTGCCAGAGACCCCAGCACTAAGCTCTGACTCTGCTGAGGCTACTAATTATTTGCAGCCACATCACGCTGGTTTCCACTTGCCTGGCTCTGTTAATGGCCCACGTGACGTGAGAAAGAAGCTTCATTTTTGCCTGGATCTTAAAGACTTTGACTGAAATTCCAACTCCGAAGTCCCCCTCCAGGGCTGTAGCGCTGTTCTTCATGACTGACTGTAGGGCTTGTAGCTGGGACTGCAAGCCCAGTTTTAAGACCAGATACCACATATTCTTCCCAAAAGCAAAAATGTCTGTGATCTTGGTCTCCCCAAGGCTAGAACAGTCTTTTTTTCCCTCCACAAGTGGCTTCTGCAGGCAATGGAGGCTTCAGAAGAGACCCAATCCTCTGGGAGCCCAGTGTCCAACACAGTGGGGGCTGAGGGAGCGCCAGGGTTTTACCTTAATCCCAACACACTTCTGTTAAACCTCACCAGACCTCAAGGGAGGGTTTAGGGGAATCCTTAGTAGATTGCTTCCCAGGGCTCCCCGAGTACATCTAAATACCAAGTGAGGAGGGACGTATGATTTGATAAACCACTTGATCTAAAAAGTACAGCATGGGAATTTACGAACCAAGTTTCTCCTGACGGAGAGAGACAAAGAGGGAGAGGAAAAGAGGCATCCAATCGATACTGAGACCCACTGGCATTTTTAAACTACTTACGTTTTTATTCTTTTTTTGTAACTATGACAGAGATGTGCTATTTTTTCAGTGGGCACTTTTGTAATACATTTAGACTGTCCAGATGCAGAGATGACTAAGGTAGTGAACGGTTTCCCTGGACAATCACGGATCACCTCATCCTCTGTAAGAAGGCGACGCGGCTGCCTGGGTTACTAAGAAGGAGAGCTTTTCTCACTGAGGTATTTACATCTTTGACGAGGCTTCTCCATCTCATTACACTAATACTCATCCAAAAACCAGAGTTGGGCTGTGTCATAAATCCCCGCTGCCCTGCTGAAACATGCAGTGGATGTCAAGGGAGTGGATGTCAGACTACTGGTTGCTCTTTTTTCACCATCTTTAATGATTTCCTATTTGATGCTTTCTAAGTAGGCAGCAAGGCAAGGAAAATGATTACCACCTTCAGAAATTTCACCTCTCTCTGGGAGTCTCACACGTCCTGTAATGAAACCCAGTGTCAGTGTGCGAAGGCAGGCAAGGGGGCAGGAGTCCTGGGGCTGAGCCACATGTTTGCTGGGCTTCATCTTCTCCCTTCTCCCTCATTTGTGAAATGAAGGAGTTTCACAAGATGATGGCCAAAGCTCCTTCTGGCCTTAAGACTGCTAATGAGCGCGGGGCAGGGGGGGTGGGGCGGGGGGGCAATCCATGTTTTGGCAAATGGGGATGACATATAGCTGACTTCCTACCTTAGGGAGGCAGTTCCTCGACACGTAACAGACATTAATGGCTTCTGGGATTCAGCACTTCTATGTTGCTGAGAATGAATATCGACATGATGCAAGGTTGAAGTCCAAGTAAGAGTGGTTTTGTTTTGCCTTGTTTTAAAACCACTGTTAGTCACAGAGTTTGTAATCTCTGGATACCTTCAAATCCTAGTCCTCGGTGTGGGATTCTTCATCTCAAGGTGTTTCTTGTTCTTGGTCAGCATGGGTTACACCATGTGCTCCTTCAGTCAGCTCTACCTGAAGCACATTTGGGTGTTAACTTAGGTCAAATGGAATTAGAAGGATAATCCAACAGCAAAAGAAATACAAATTGTATTCCATACCCAGGAGAGAAAATGCCTTTTGGACTGCATAGTTCTCCATTTGATGAGTGTTGTCTCTTCCTGCCGGTGACCAGGTAAATCAGGAATTGGTTGCCCATGTACGCCTCTGAGGCCTATGACTTTACCCCAAGGAGGTTCTGCTACAAAACCCTTGAGCCTCGGAGGCTCTCCATTTACCAAAGGTTTTTTTCCAGAGGATTTTCCTGTGGCTTTGGTGGTTAAAAAAAAAAAAAAATTTAACCAGCATAGAAGGGTTTAAAAGAAATGAAAACCTTCTCCCATAACCTTCTCCACCACCTTCCCCCTACCTCCCAAAGAGAAAATTCTGAGCTGGGAACCCTCTAAAAGTATACGCAAACTTTATGCATATTTACAGATGCACATTTTTCTATAATGAGTGTCCAGACCAGCACTATCCAATGGAAATGTAATGCAAGTCGCCCATGTAAATTTTACATTTTCTACTGGCTACATTTTAAAAAGTAAAAAGGAACAGTTCAAAATAATTTTAATAATATATTTAATCTTTTTGTTTCAACATGTAAAAAGTATAAGTGAAATATTTTACATTCTTTTTTGTACTAAGTCCTCTAAACCCATCGTGTGTTTAAGCTCCCAGCATGCCTCACTTTGGACTAGCTACATCTCCAGCTCTGTCTCAACAGCCACATGTGACCCGTGGCTTCCAGCTGGACAGCACAGGTCCAGAGCTGCTCCAGAATTCTCACAAGGCCCCCTGACCCTTGCAAAGAAAAAAAAAAAAAAAAAGTTAAAACCTAATTACCTCCAGAGAGAACTAGACTCCACCCAAGTTGCCTAATGAGAGGCCCAAAGATCTGTTTATTTTGTAATGGGTAAATATTCAGGCCATTCTTTTTGAAATTTCTGCCTGACCTTTCTAACCATACACTGATGTCCATTACTGTTACCGTTACTTTGCTGACCAGTTGTTTTTTTTTAAAAAAGTCACACAAACCATGTTGATTTGGTGCTGAAACAAAATTATCTCCCTCACGTCTAAGACAAACCCTTAGACTGGTATGTGGCACTCAGGAGCCAAAGAGAATTCCATCCAACTTCACCTCAACCATTAGTTCTCCTGCTTCCGGGCTGGCAGAAGGCCTTTTCCTGGTGCCAGTGCCCCGTGGGGATTTGAGGGGGGAAAGTGGGAAGTTACGTACTGACTGCAAATACAAGACTCTGAGTGGCCTCATTGAGAAGAAGTCTTTGGGGTTGTGACTGCCCAGCCCTATTGGGTGAATCATGACAGCCGACAATCGCCAGCTCTCAACTCAGAAGTCAGCATCCTCTCTCACCCGAAGGCTGTGGGCAAGAAAGGGAGCATTTCCATTCCCTCAGAAGAACTGAGAGTCACCTCTAGGAATTGCCTCTTCCGTGTGGCTGATCCCTTTGAGAAGAACTGAGCCCTGATCATGAATACAGCAGCTAAATATTGATTTCGTCTCCAGGGCTTAGTTACCCCTGAAATATTAACTCCATCACCTAGGCAGGACGAAGGGGAGTTAGAAAAAGGCAGAAAGTGAATAGTGGAGGGGCGCCTGGCTGGCTCAGTTGGTAGAGCATGTGACTCTTGATCTTGGGGGCGTGAGTTCGAGCCCCACATTGAATGTAGAGATTACTTAAAAAAAAAATTCTAAAAAAAGAAAAGAATAGTGGCAAAAGCACCTACCTATTCTGACATCACCTGGTCATGATGGTAACCGCGGAGGCAAATCCCTGTCCAAAGATTGTTTTCAGCATTTCCCTCGTTCTGGACGTTCACAGGCCTGAGTTTGGTCATGTCAGAAACCACCGTGCCCAATGGCTACTTCAGACAGTGCTGATATCCTTGTGGCTACCACACCTTCAGAACCAGAAATGGTGGTAGATAGCCTAACGTGGGGTTCTTTCTTATCTATGAGTTGTGTTTAGCTGAAAATTCTTGCAGAGCATTAAAAAATAAGTGGCATTTAGTTATCCACTGAATGCATCACCTTGACTGAAAACAAAGAAATCTCATTAAATCAAAACTCTTTCAGAAAATCTGAGACACAGAGTCACATCCTCTGTGGAGCGAGGACCCAGCCCTCTGTGGTCTGGGGCCCCCACAGCAATTTCCAGTAGCACTTTTTATATGCTCTGTCTTAGATTTCTTTCCCTTTTCTCTCTCTCTCTCTCCTGTGTGTGTGTGTGGCTTTCTCGGACTGTCTCTTTCTGTACACACACCTACACACATTCTTTTCCCATCTTTCAAGACAAAAAAACCTTGGTGGCTTTGGATCTATAGACTTATCATTGTTGTGATTACCATTTATTGTGATTACTGTTACTGGTGTTGGTGTTTTTCTTGTTTTCATTGGGTGGCAATGTCTATATTTGCACTTCTGATGAGGAAAACCAGTCTACTCTAAAGGCAAATTAACTTCCTCCATAATGGAGTTAGTCATGTTTTCACTTCTCCTGGCACGAATTTAATCACAGACCACTATAGCTATTGCCTTTTTTTCAGGCTGCCTTGCCAGAAAAGTCTCCTAGGCAAATAATGGCAAAGTCACAATTCCAGAATGCTGTCGAGATCTATTATCTTCTTCCTTGAGCATTTGTGACCTTCCTAGTTCACCAGAGGTCCCTGAGATTAGGACTTCTTAGAAAAACGTATGGGCCGGACCGTATCCGACGTCCACGCATGCTTCATAACTCAGCTTCTTAGCACAAGAACTTCCTCTTTGTAAGGGATCTGGGAGGCCATTTCTTCCTTAAGATTGAAAGAGAGACACAAAGAAACCATTCTCCCCAGGTGAGGGACACAGGTGCCTTGTGCAGTGCTGTGTGTCATCGACATGTAATTGATGATGGCAGTTAAAAGGAGGTGAGAATACTAGCCTGCAGGAAGTGAGAAAGAGGATGGCCGGATATGAACATGGGCACTCTTCCCAAATGAATGCTCATCCCCTAGGTTTAGAACTGACCCGGTGTTTTGGGGTGTGTATGTGTGTGTTTTAAGGAGTTTAACACTCATGAGTTAAACACTCATGGTTGCAAAGAAGGTTGGGATTGCCTGAAAGATAAATTAATTCTGAGAAACAGGAATGAGTTTCTCAGCATCACTTACCTCTTCTCTTTGCCTGCTTGTCTCCCCATCTCACAGCTCCAGGCCCATTGTAATAGGAACAGTAATTTGTTTTAAAAAAAAAAAAAAAAAAAACCCGTAGATTGGTTTACGCTTTACACTTTGACCCTTGTAACAACACGAAATTATCCCAAAACTAAAGAGGTGATTCCAGATGCTAGATGTAGATCCTTAATTATCAAGCCCTTTAATGACAAAACCTGCTTGTTATGCAAATAACCCGATGAGGTCACTCACATATCTCTTTATCACCCTGTGAACTATGCCTGCCTCAATCAAGCGGCTTTTTCAGGAATCTCAGTGATCAAAAACCTTTTCATCCTTGTGCTATTTTTGCACTTACTACAGAGCCATTCGCTCCATAGCCACCTGAGAAATGTTCGTTGATGATAATGATAAGGCAAGAACATAGTCTCTTAAGGGGTCTGCAGGTCTGTACAGAGCAAGGGAGAACTTCTCTGAAGAAGGAAGCTCCACCCAAGGTACCCAGAATCACTGCTTGGCAGAATGTCTGTGGTCTTGTCATCCTTACTGGGATGACAAGGGCTCGGAGAAGCAGGAAAATGTGAGGACCATGTGTGCTATGCAAACCAAAGACCAATCACCATCCAGATGGACACATGTTCTTCCATTGACTCGTTTAATTTTCTCCTAATGTTCTCGTAAATAAAGGTGAAGGTGGGTTGCCTAGTCAGACGAAACTGTGAAACCTTAGGGGATTTTCTCTTGCAGGCTGGTGACTGCCCTTACTAAATCCAGAAATCTAAAAAAAAAAAAAAAAAAAATGTATCGTGGCCTTAGTACCACACCATCTTTTTTTTTTTTTTTAAAGATTTTATTTATTTGACAGAGAGGCACAGCGAGAGAGAGGGAACACAAGCAGGGGGAGTGGGAGAGGGAGAAGCAGGCTCCCCTCAGAGCAGGGAGCCCGATGCGGGGCTCGATCCCAGGACCCTGGGATCATGACCCGAGCTGAAGGCAGACGCCTAACGACTGAGCCACCGAGGCGCCCAGTACCACACCATCTTTAAAGTCAGGTGTTTTCGTCTCCTTTTTCCCTCAAAAAATCTTAGACAAAACTAGCGCTTTATTGTACTCGGAATTATTGTTCTCTTTGAGAATGTGAAGATTTTAAATAGCAAAAGAATTTTCATGTAGGAGAGCTTCTTAATTAGAGTGTATCCCACACTTTTGAAGAAAATACCAAATTATTGCCTGTACGAGTACACAGCAGAGCAGTTGAAGAAGGATTGCCAGCGTAAGGACTTTATGTTGGCATCTGTGGTACTTACTGGTCGGTAGGCTGTTATTGCACGGGGGCAGGGCGCCCCCTGCTGGACTAATCGCCATTATTCTTTCAGCCGGTTAATTTGACTAGGGTCACCATTTCCTCAAGGACCAGTTATTTGCCTTTCGTCATACAGTTTTTCCT